AATAATAATAATAATAATAATAATAATAATAATAATAATAATAATAATAATAATAAAGATGTTAAGGACATTTATCAGAGTCCAAAATTCTGCTCAAAACCTACATAGTTTCCCCACAAGCAGCCAGGGTATATCGGATTCGGTTTAAATAAACTTTGATCCAACCATGCGGACGAAAGAACCAATGAACTAGAACAACTTTACCACTGAGCCAAAAGATTATTATTTAATGTTGAATCCGTATTGAAGCATAGATAATCTTTCATAAATAAGAACTAGTCAAGAGTTTCTGCACTTACAATAATAATAATAAATAAAATTAATTTAGTACTTTCTATTATAATAAAACATTGAGTTAATATCTTATTTATCGGGTCATTTTGAAATAATGAAGTAAAAAAATAACATTACCATCATTCACATCCCGTCAGTCCAAAAGAACGGAGTAAGAGGATGACATTCCTTCTATCAGCGGCTGCCGTTCCGAAAGAATAGAGTAAGGGCCAATGTTAAAAAAGTAAAGCATTTTGAGCTTGTTCTTTTAGAGTTTAACTTGAGTATAATTCTTGAGTTGAATTTGAGTTATAACTTAAGTTGAACTTGTAACTTGAATTTATGTTTGGTTGTATATATTTGACTTATGGTTTGAGATAAAAATCTTTTTGAGTTTGTGTTTGAGTGAGTCAAAACTTGAATTTGTATTTATATAGTATTTTAATAAAAACTCAATGCTGATGAAAACTTTTAATAGGGTATATGGGTCGGGTTTTATTCGTCTTTTCGTTATCAACGCATAGAAAAAAAGATTATCTCAATCAGAATTAAAACGAAAAAGTTATAGCATTTTTAAGAATAGAAAAATACTATTCATTAATTTGAGTTTGAGTTTCTGAACTCGAGTTAAAGGGGAAACTTAAACTCGAGTTTTAGTCCTAAACTCGAATTTAAACTTAAAAGAACATGAACTCGAATAAAGTTGTAACTCGAGTTGCTTTTTTTTTGAGTTTTTCACTCAAAAGAACAAGCCCTCGGAATTTGAAAAATTACCAAAACAAGATGTAAAGAGAAAAGGAACCCTCTTCCATCAATGTTACAAGTATCATTCTTGTTATGTTTGGCCAAACTTCATGCAAAGAAAGGAGCTTTACCGAAGTGTGGAAAAACACACAGAGACCACTCTAAAATTGTGGCCAACCTGTTGCATTTCATGTATGCAGATCTTAATCTTATACAATGAAATGAATTGGTTTAAAAGTTCATAAGGACGCGATAATGAGAACAGAAAGTCCTTGAGGGATTATTTCAGCTTTTCGAGATAAAATAAACTGTACGAGGCATCAGAATGAGACTTGATACGAGAATTCAAATCACGGTGATTCTAATTATGATTCTGAAACCAGAACTATGATTCATGATTTTGGGTTCAAATTATGATTCTGAAACCATGATTCAAAATCAGGGGATTTGAATTGCCTTGAATCAAGAGGAAATGTGATTTTAGAATCATGAGTGATTCTAGTTTAAAACATCACATCAAATTCTGAATTATGATACAGAATCACTATAAACAAATACTGATTCTGAATCACTGTAAATAAACACCGATTCTAAACCAAGATTTAAAATTAAAATTATGGATCTATTTACTAAACGAACAATAAAGATTGTGGGGGTGTTCTTTTCACAACCAAGAATAAATCCTTGGTGCATTTATCCTGAAAAAGTGAAACCCATTATAATCACTCTCTCATTTTGCTGTAATCTAAAGCCAACTTTAAGGAGAAAATAGAAACCCATTAAATCAACTCATCCACCCGCCAAAACTCCGTTGCAGCTCCTCACTGAAAGGCAAGCTCCGTGCATAGCGGCCCACACAATGCCGCTCTTCTTATTACCTTATATCTGTGTAGTTTCTGAACTTTTAAAAATATAGTTAAGACTTCAAAAACTAGAGCGAGGATATTCTTATTTTCACAATTTCATATATTTTTAAAAACTTAGTTTATTTAGGGTATCATAATTACCAGATTTAATAAGATGTCATTATTCGTAAAATACTCAAAATTATTGAGTATATACAACCAAACACAGTGGAAACATATTCTCAAACATCATAATGTAGATTTCCTAAAAGTCATATTACCCCATCACTTTCCCATGATTCTTTTTTAATATAGCCTGCTCCCCCAAAGTAATGTTTAATACGGTATGCACCAAACCTGGTACGAAACTCCTTAAGATCATATTATCTCATACAAACGATTAGAAAGCAAAATGCGTTTCTTTCATTTTTTTTTTTCTTTTCTCAAGCCACAGATTATGGACCTCTTTAGTCCATTTCAGGAATATTCATACATTAGGCTAACAAACCATACTATAATAGAATAAAATGGCCCTTCCTCACACATACAGCATCCCATCTTAGCCCATGGCATATTTCTGGGTCCAGCTCCTCGCAGTTGTCTCGTACTTGTTCCTGTCTGTCTTGTACATGTGAGCAATCTCCGGCACCAACGGATCATCGGGATTTGGGTCTGTCAACAGAGAGCAGATTGAAAGCAACACCTGGATATTGCAATGCAACAACAATGAGTGCGACTGTGCGATGCAAAGAGCTTTATCTCAAAGTGTTACCGCTAATGAACATCCTGAATATGTGCTTTTTTAATACATTGCGGGATGCAGGTTTTAACATGATTTGTTTATCTGCTAACGCAGAGAGATTAGTGCAACAAATCAAATTGGAAAACTCTTTTCCTGCAATTAGAAGTATCCCGGAGTATTTTAAAAATTGCAATATAACGCATAAAAGTCAAGACTTGAGCTCATATAGTAGTCCCTACTCCCTAGTACACAATGATGTAATTGCCTCTCCTCCTTTAGAATGAAACTTGTTTTCATATAGGAAATTTCAAGATTATAAGAGAATGAACCTTTGAAATTGTCAAAGCAGGGCTCCACTGCTCCTTCAAGATGTCAAGACAAATGCTGCCGTTGCTGTTTATATTCGGATGGAATACCTTGGTTCTGAATGCCACCTTCAAAGTTAGATGAATATATTAGACAGAGAGAATATGAGAAAGATAACTGGAACTTCTACTTATCGGAGCAATCGTCAATGGCAATATCAGAAACTAGTAAGCGAGAAATGCAAAATGAAGTGATGATGCTCAGAAATAGACCGGAACAACAAACGGTAGCGTGCATTAAGAACACAATTACAAATTATTTTGAATTCCACCTGCAAAAGTCCAATGTGTCCCCAGACCAAATTTGCTCAATGTAATTCTTGGGGGGGGGGAATGCAGACAGTATCCAAAGACAAATAAAGGAAAGAAACGAACACAAAACAACCATTTACAATCGGAGACCAAAGATAACTGATATAAACAGACTTAGTATCAAATGGCATCAACAAAACTTCGAGTCCAAATTCCACTTGCATCCTACAATCGAGGGTGTATAGATCATTGAATACACAAAACAGATACTTTCTGAACATGGAGCAAGAACAAAATACCTTGGGTGGCTTGAAGGGATAATCTGGAGGAAAATGAATGGTAACTAGGAAAACACCCCCAGCATAAGGACTGTCTGGAGGACCCATTATTGTTGCTTGCCAGTGAAACATATCTTCGGCAACAGGACCTGTGAAAATAACCGAAAACGACATAAAGCAAAACCCCAATATAAAACTGAAGTTAGATACTTTACAAAACCTCACAGGGAATTATCAATTGAGAGAGAGAAACATCATCATGATAACAAAGTAAAAAGTACATTTCCAATAAATTATGGCTACTTTAGCCACGAGAAAATGAAACTCATTCCTACACTGAAAAAAAAATAAAAAATAAAAATAAAAATCAACGAACGACACTTCTGATTTTGGGCTGGTCGTGGCTTAAATATTATGGTTGACTTCTATATAAACGACATAGCAAATATTGGTATACACCTAAAGTTATCAGCTACAAAATTTCCAATGCTAATGGCTCTAAATTATGCACACTTTTTGGACAAAAATTACCCAGATGATAAATAGACAGAAATGACCAGAACTTTGCAAAAGAAATATTGTTCCAAAAAATTTGACAAAATGAACAAAAATAAAAGAAGAAAAATTTCATAAAAAGAGAAAAGGAAGGATCCATTCGGGGAAAAAAGAAAATAACAAATGATCGACTGGGTAATCAAGCCATAGAACAAAAACATGCAATAATAAACCGAAAAAAAAAATCTGTGAGAAATTAAGACGAGAAAACGAAATACCGGCACTGCAAGAAGTAGGAGGATCCTTCTGCAGATCCTTGAGTTCCTTCAAGATCCGTTTCGACGCCATCTTCTTCGGAACCCTAATTATGACAATCCAAAACAACCTTATTCTCAGATCAAAACCAAAACGATATATATAGACAAACCCGAGAACTAGAAGCAGATCTTGATCGTACCTTAGAGAGAAAAAGAGAGAGTGAAAGGTGTAAAGAAAATTCTCCTTTGGCTTTTGGGTTCTCTCTCTCTCTCTGTGTTAAGGAGGGCAGAGGAAGGAGGAGGAGAAGAAGATAGAGAGGAGAAACGAAGAAGGGTCTCCTGGGGGGTAAACGATTCCATGTGGGGAAGACTTTTGTAAAATAGCTGCACCCGCCCCCTGAATTCGACCTCCTGATTGGGTTATTCTATTCCCTTCTGGGCCCCACTCTTGGCGTTTTCTGTACGCTATATAAGCTTTTGCCTTTTCTTTTATTTTAGTGTAATTACCGCAAATAGCCCCTGAATTATTTAATATATGACAGTTTAATTTCTATTCTTTTAATCTTATCAAAACACTTTTTCAACCACTTTAAACATCCACAATTTTAACCTTTCCGTCTAAATTCGTTAGATTACTAACAGAAACAATCACGTGACCTCACACCTGACCCTTTTATCGATGAAATGACTGAAATGCCCTAATTATGAGAAGAGGCACAATGTTATTCTTTTTTTTATTATTATTATTTTTATGGTTGATCAAAGGTTTTTACTTTTATGAAATTTGGGTTTACTGTTTATTCTTTTTCTTCCCTCTGGAAAAACTGAATACGGAGAGAATCAACCAAACCGGTTCTGCCATGGAACCTGTGCCGTAGCGAGTCGCACCGCTGCACAAGCCCAGATCTGCCGCGCTGACCACCCCAATGCTGAGCCTCGCACCGCCGTCCAGATCCCTCCATTAGCACCCCCGTCTTTCGCGCGCCCCCACCCCCAGCCCCAAACGCAAAAACCCCCAAATCTCACTTCGCTGCCAGAATTCTTCACTTTATGTTTGTTTTGTTTTGTTATTTATTTATTTTTTTTGGGGTTGTGTTTCATGGTTAGAATTGTGAAGAATTTTTGTTGAAGTATTTTTGGACTGATTGGTTGTGATGATTCATGAGTTCTGGTTTTTTGGATTTTTCCGCGCATATTATTGGGAACAAAAGGAAATTACAAAGAAATAAATTGGAAGAACTAGTTAGTGTGCCTATGTAAGAAAGAAAAGCTAATAACAAGTTTATAATAAGAACCAAATCAGAAAGCAAATTAGGCATTTCTCAAGATCACACTTGCACCCCAAATCCCGGTTTGCAGTCTGGTTGGGCTGTATGTGATCTATGGTGGTGATGGGCTAGAGTTTTG